CTGGGAGACACTGAGGATGGTAGTGGTAAAAAGTTTAAGCTTTGGACTAAATACAACAGTTTTGGTAATACTGAACACAATGCCTAACAGTAAGAACTCAATAGGTAGAAGGAAGCTATAATTATAAAACAATTTGAAAATACTCTAATACAGGAGATAATTGAGGACTAAACTGAGTAAGTAGTTAGATGTTAAGATTTCAGAAGACAAGGAGATTACTGTCAGCTCAGTGACCATAATTAAAAATCAGGACCCATCATATGGGACAATGGGTTAAAAAAATCTGTTAATATATCCATGTGAAAAATTTATAAAGCTCTACAGATTTTAAAATTATTTCAAAAAAAAATAAATAAAAATAAAAATCTTTCAGCCACTGACTTGAACAGTTAGTTGCCTTTATTGGAAATATTTAAATTCCATGTAGTCCCAAATACCCTGAGCCATTTAGAGGTCTCTGTACCAGAGCTCATGCTTCTCCCTCAGCCCCAAGAATCATTTCATACCCTTACCTAATGATATCTACTCATTCTTCGGAGCACTTCCTCTTCTCTGGTGGGGCTGGGTGCTCCGCCTTTGGCACCAGTGTGCAATTTTACCATAACTTTTACCACAGTGTATTGACAGTTTCTATTTGTGTACCTTTTGTGTATTTTTTCTTTTCTGCTTTTGGGCCTACTAGACTGTAGGCTTTCCAAGGGCAGGGTCATATTGTATTCATCATCGTTTTCCTTGTACACTGCTTGGCTTCCGGCTGATCTCAGTTAACATTTATTGAACCCAACTGAACCAATATTAGGAGTATGCTAGAAAATCCTGGACTAGAAAAATCCTTGAAGGACTGATAACTTAAAACACCCCCCCACACACACAACCTTAAAACAGGTTTAGAACATAAGAACTTAAACCACCGAGACACCCAGGCATCCCTAGTCCATCTTTTTAATGGCTACATAGTATTCCACTTTCCATTTTATGACATACCATAGCCTATTTAACCCATTCCCTATTGTTGGAAATTTAGGTTGCTTTTACTCTTTTCCTGCTATGTAATTATCATGGGTTGAATTGTGTTATCTTCTCCAAAATTCGTATGTTGAAATCCGAACCCTTAATATCTCCTAATACAACCTTATTTAGAGATTGGTTCCTTATGATCAAGTTCAAATGAAGTCCTATAGGTTGGGATTTTTTTTTTTAAGATTTTATTTATTGAAGAGAGACACAGAGAGAGAGAGAGAGAGAGAGAGAGAGAGAGAGAGAGAGGGCAGAGACACAGGCAGAGGGAGAAGTAGGCTCCATGCAGGGAGCCTGATGTGGGACTCGATCCCGGGACTCCAGGATCACGCCCTGGGCTGAAGGCAGGCGCTAAACTGCTGAGACACCTAGGGATCCCATAGGGTGGGACTTAATACAATCTGACTGGCATCCTTGTGAGAAGAGTAAAATTGGACAGGGATATTTTTAAGAGGAAAGATAAGAAGACACAGGGAGAAAACAGCCACCTATAAGCTGAGGAGAGGGCCTAGAACAGATACTTCCCTTATGCCAACATGTTGATCTCAGACTTCCAGTCTCCAGTACTGTGAGACAATAAATTTATTGTTTAAGCTGCTCAGTTTGTGGTACTTTGTTACAGCAGCCCTAGCAAACTAATATGATAACACTTCAATGAATATCCCTATATATCTTTTTTTCCACAAAGATGCAAGCATATTGGTAGCAATCATAGAAGTAAATTTATAGAAAGGTACCGCTGTATATTTCACATACCCTTTTCTTAATGTCCTTTCTCCTGAGATGCCCCTGGGAAACTCCAATATAACCACTTCAAGTGTTACCTCTTCTGGGAAACCTGCTGTAGTAGTCAGCTCCTAGGATGGCTCCCAGTAACCCCCCACCTCCTAGTATTCAAGTCTTTGCATATGCCTCACTTTTGCATATTCCCCGCTTCATGAACTTATTGACTCTTTTCTAATGAATAGAGAATGGCAGAAGTGACGGGACCTCACTTTGAAGATTAGGTTAGAGACCATAGCTTCTGTTCAGGGATGTTTTCTCTCACACAATCTTGTACTCTCTTGCTCTTTCTTGGTTATTCATGTTGGAGAAGCCAGCTGCCATGTTGTGAGGTAGCCCTGTGAAGAGACCTATGTTTCAAGAGATTAAGACCTTCTAATAACTACGTAAGTAAAAATGGAAGTGGATCTCTCTTCATTCAAGCCTTTAAATGAGACTGGCAGCTGATAGCTTGACTGTAACTTCATCAGAAACTTTGAGGAAGAATCACTCACCTAAGCCATACCTGGATTCCTGACCAAAGAAACTGTGAGTTAATTTTTGTTGCTTTAAGCTACTGAGTTTTGGGGTAACTTGATATGCAGCAATAGATAACTAATTACTTTCCATCCTCCCCTCTTCTTTCCCGAGCTTTCAAACTTCCAAAATTACTTACATATATCTCTAATAATGCTCACTACATCATACTTGCTTCTAAATCTCTCTCCTCTACTTGACTGTCTCCAAGGACAAAAGCCCTGGCTCAGCTTTATATTTACTGTCTTACGCAAAGTTCAAGCCACCATCATCACTTCCCTAGATTGTTGCAATAACCTCCAAACTGGGCTGTCTAAATCCTCTGTAGCCTCACTCAGATATATGCTCTATCCAACCTTAAGAAATCTTTTTAAGATGCAACTTGGATCATTTGAGAACTGAAACCCCTTCTCCTCATTTTTAAGATAAAGATGTAAATTTTTAATATAGTCTCCCAGACATGGCATGATCTGCTTGCCTCACTACCAAATCTAAAGCCACTTCCCTCTTATTCCCAGTACAACAGCAACACTGGCCTCTCAGTTCCTTAGCTGAACTATGCTCCTTCCTCCTTCAGTGTCTTTGCACACACTGTCCCTCTGCCTTGGATGCTTTCTACTGCATCGTCACTCATTTCTACTGCACTCATTTCTACTGCATCGTCACGTCACTCATTTCTATTCATCCTTTAGGTCTCAGCTCAAGGCCACTTACCAGGGAAGGTCTTTCTGCCTTCCATTATAAAGCAAAGAAGCCTGTGATTTTCCTTCACACCACTTACCACAATTTAGATAAATAATTAATTAGGGGTTTAATGTTTGTGTCCCCTGTTGGATTTGGACTCTAAGCTCTGTGAGGGCAGGGACACCTCATCTTGTTCTCTACTATATCCCTAACACAGAGAATAGTGCCTGATATATTGAAAACAAGGACTCAGTACTTTTTTTTTTTTTGGCTGAATCACAAGGCAAACATTTCCTATTCCTTCTACAAACTTCACATCCTTTCATTATCTACACATTTAATGTTTCTTTTTTTTTTAAATTTAAATTCTAGTTAAACAACACAGTTCATATTGGTTTCACATGAAGGGTTCAGTGGTTCCTCATTTCATGTAACACCTAGTGCTCATCATCACAAGTGCCCTTAATACCCATCGCCCATCTAGCCCATCCCCCACCTACCTCCTTCCATCAACCCTCAGTTTGTTCTGTTAGGCCTCATGATTTGTTTTCCTCTCTCTTTTCCCCCACCCCCCAATCCTGTACATTCATCTTTTTTTAAAATTTAAATTCAATTTGCCAACATATATTGTTTCTTAAATTCCACACATGAGTAAAGTCATATGGTATTTGTCTTTTTCTCTGACTTATTTCACTTAGCATTATACACTCTAGCTCTATCCATGTCCTTGCAAATGGCAAGATTTCAGTTGTTTTGTTGGCTGAGTAGTATTCCATTATCTATCCATCAACCACATCTTTGTCCATTCATCAATTGATGGACATTTAGACTCTTTATACAATTTGGCTATTAAACATTTAATGTTCTTAATGTCATTTATGACAGTGTTATCTGCCTTAATAGTCATCTCTAAGAAGTAGAAACTATAGGTTTTACGTTGTGTGGTATAGGACCCAGCAGAGTTGGGGATTCAGCACTGGAAAAGGAAAGTGAAGACTAGGTTTACTGATAAATGGCCTTTAGTTGCTATTTTTTTGCTGTTAAACTCTGCATGGGCTTTTGCGGAGCAGTGTGAAGGTAAAAAAGGATGGGCCTTATAGTTAGACCTGAGTTTGAATCCCAGTTATACCATTTAGTATCTATGCGACTATGGCCAAATTTGTTATCCTCTCTGTTCTTCAATTTCTTAGCTACAAAATGAGGATAGAATAATGGCACTTCTGTTTGAGGTTGTTAGAGGAACTCAATGACTTGTAAAGCACTAAGAGGGCCTGACCTTAGCAAATGCTCTAAATATCACTCTCTCTTTTTTAACCTGTGGTAAAACAAGGTTGCCCAATTCTCATTTGGTACTAGAAGTTTGGGAATATTTGTGGTGTTCTCTGTGGGAGGTTAGGATTGGAACACTTAAAAATATAATGCCTCCTCCTCAATTCTTTTCTCTACTTTCAAATCTTAATATTGAAGCTAGTAGGAGAGTGAGAAATGGCTGCCAGCTATGTTCTCTTTTGGTTCCAAATGAGAGCAGCACCAGTTTGTCCTGGAAATTTGTGTTTCTATTGCTGACACATCCATCTTCATACACCCGTTGCCAAAGAGATGAGCTGCTAAGGGACGGCTACTCTGATTCTTGACACCTGGCGATTTGTGAATGCTGGTTTTTTAGTATCTGGAAAACTATCAAACTCCCTTTCTTTCTCTTCTTAATGGAACCCTTCTGGTCAATCAGAGTCTACTAAATATAGGCCATTTAGAGGCATAATAAAATAATGAAGTTAGAATTACAACAAGAAATGTACCCAAGCGGGATCCCTGGGTGGCGCAGCGGTTTGGTGCCTGCCTTTGGCCCAGGGCGTGATCCTGGAGACCCGGGATCGAATCCCACGTCGGGCTCCCAGTGCATGGAGCCTGCTTCTCCCTCTGCCTGTGTCTCTGCCTCTCTGTCTCTATCATAAATAAAAAAAAAAAAAAAAAAAAAAAGAAATGTACCCAAGCAAGGGCTCTCTGCTGCTGGGACCGAGAAAGAATATTTCTCATAAGAAAAAATACAAAAAAGATTGAAAAAAAGTCAAGTAGTTAATCTTCCCTCAAGACACAGTGTTCTCTCAAGCCCTCTTCCTTCTTTCTGAAGGCACACTCAGTTCTGGAGCAGAAGCAAGGAAACCAGCTGAGATAAATCGTTTTCCCCTCCCCCTTTAATCTTGGGTAAGAGCTGCCAATTCTACAAATTCCTCCTTTGATGAGAAGATAAAGCAGAACAATGCTGTGGAACTAAACAGATTCCTAAGGGACATTCTTCTAGGGTGTGTAAAGTCGGCCTGGAAGTGGGGGTGGGGAGGGGAGGAAGGGATGGAAAGCCTGGAGTAGGAAAGGTGGGTGGGTGGACAAGAGTCAGTAGCCACCTCAAGGAGTGCAGTTGCTTCCTTCCATAGACTCAGAACTCCATCCAGTCTCATCTCCGGGGAGTTGTAGGCATGTTTATTAGAGTAATTAGAGGGGCTTCATCCACTTCACATCCACTCTACCAAAAAAAAAAGGGGGGGGGGAGAAGAGAGAAAAAAGATTTCTTTCCCATTATTTGTTGAAAGGAAGTTTCTACTTCGTCTTCTCACAACTTAAAAAAAAAAGGTGTCGTTGTTGTTGTGCTTGTTGTTTTACTGAGAATTGCAGCCCAAGTCAGTCTACCACATTAGATTGTAAGCCTTTGGAAGGAGCGTGTCCCCTTCTCTCACTGTTTAAGGGACATATTAATGTGATTTTTTTCCTTGTTCGCTTTGGTCTGCGTCCAACATGGAAAGCTTCCAAGAGTTTCCTAACAAGTCCTAAATATGTAAATCGTTATTGTTTGGGGGGAAGAAACCTGTTTTTGTTAGCTTACAATATTATGAAATGTCACTCCAGAAAAATCTGTTGGGCTTCTGTTGCTTTGTTTTCCTCTTTTTTCCTTGTGTTGATTTTTCTTCTTTTACTTGAAAAATAAAAAAAAAGTGTTTTACTTGAAAAAAAAAAACGTTTTATTTTGAATCTGGTCCATATTTACAATCGAGTTCAGAGCCAAGCCTTAAATTGAACAGAATTTCCACTGTAATTAAACTATTTAGTGTTCAGCCTTCAAAAAGATATAGTCTCCATTACACTGTCAACTGCATCACACAGAGCAGGGTAAATGTATGTTTCTGCATAGCGAAATAAAAATGGTAAATGCAAAAAAAAAAAATAAAACTAAAAATAAAAAAAGCTGGAAAACGCTACAGATTGTGGAGTCAGAATTGGGAGTTTGAATCCTGCTCCCGGCGTCACCATCTGTGAAATGGGGAGAATTTTCCTATCTGCTCGACATGGTTATGTAATTCTTAAATCGGATATTTAAGGGCTAATAATCTCAGTCACTTGTCGGGAGGCAGGTATTTTGGAGATTGCCTTGCGAAGACCCTCTGTGGAGCAGACAAGAGCCGTCTCCGCCTAGCCGGGGGCTGTCATCGGGCCATCTTCCTTACCTGACCGCGGAGCACTACGGGAGACACCCGAGTGAAGGAGCTTCACGCAGTCCACGTGACGGGCTGCTAATTAGACGCTCCGCAGCACCTGATCCACCGTGAGCCGCCGCGAAAGGCAGCTTGGCGTGCAGGACTCCGTATCTTGCCTGCGCCTTTCAAGTTTTCCAGCCGCAAACTAACCTCACCGCGGCCTGGGGCCCAAGCCAGGAATCTGGGAACCACGGCCAGGCTGGAGCAGACTTGCTGAGGTCCCTGGAGAGGGCACGGGAACAAGAGTACTCGCTGGTTGGCGGACGCCCGGCCGGACAGTGGCCGGCTGGGGTCCCAGGAGGTACATTCCCGCCCCCCCGTCCCTTCCTCACCATCCCCCATCCCCGCCGCGGGCTGGTGCTGCCGGGAGAGACGTCCCGAGCCGACTCGGCATTTCCCAGGGGAAGCCGCAGCCCGGCCCCCACCGCCCGAGCTCCAGCCTCGCGGGACGCGCCCAGGCCCCGCCCACCACCTCAGGTAGGCCGTCGGCGCCAGCCAATCCCGCCGAAGCCTGGGCGCGGAAGGCGGGGCTTCCCTGGCCGGAAGTGACGTGCTGTGCTTGGCTGGCCGCGGAGTCCGCCGAGGCTCTTGGCGGCGGCTGAGGCGGCCGGGAGGGAAATGGCTCGCACCGCGGCTGCTGCGGCGGCTCGGGTTGTGGTGGAGGCAGAGGCTCGGGCGCCGTGAGGTGAGGAGCGGTAGGTGCAACGGGTGCAACGGGGGCCGGTGCCTGGGGCCCCGCTGTGCAGGGGCCGCGAGGGCCCCGGGGGCGCCCAGGATGGGAGGGTCCCCTGCCGCGGCCCCCAGTCCCGGGCGCCCGCCTTTGACCCTCTCTCTGGTACTCTTGGTGTCGCCTCAGCCCGACTCACCTCCCCCGGGCCTTGCTTCCACCCAGGCCGTGTCCGGCCGCCCCGCCTGAGGGGCGAGGGGCCCGCGCCCCCCTTAGGCCCCTCTTGGCGGGGCCCCTGGGAGTTAGTTTCGCCCGCAGGCGGGGGGCAGGGCCCCCCCTTGTCCTTCGGTACCGGGTCGGAGTCCCTGAGGCCGGTCCTGCGCTCTTGTTGAATCGTTCGCTTCTGGCGAAGTGTACGGCACGTCTGGGTCGTCTCCCGCACCCCCTCCACCTCCTTGTCCCATCTCCAGCTTTGGGGATAATGCCTTTTTGGTTTTTTGTTTTGTTTTTTGTTTGTTTTTCTTCTTCACACTTCTTCCCATTTGCTGCCTTTTTTTTTTTTTTTTTTTTTTTGCCGCGAATCCACTTGCTTCGGGAGAACAGTATTATTTAAGTGTGTGTTTAGTGCATCATCTTTCCGGGAGTGCGGTCAGATGAAAAATATTTGCTTCACTCTTCCTGAGTGACGGAGGAACAATACAGAATCGAAGAAGGGGAGAAAAAAAAAAAAAAAGCACATACTTCTTTTTCCTCACTAAATGGTTTGGCTTTAAAAAGGAGATTCTCTAGTTGTGGAAATTTCTTCGGGGGGGTGGGGCGGGGAGCAGGGCTTCACGAGGGAAATGAGGAAGAAAACTAAGGGAGGAAGAAAGTGTGGGGATTAAGCATGTGGAAGAGAGCGCCTGTGGTAGTTCCTTCCCTTCTGCTAATTAGCCGGATAGAAGTTGAGGTTGTGGTTATATTTTTAATCTGGACAGTGGGTGCTGTAGGGAAGGAGGTCTTCATCTTTGAACAACATTACTTATTATTATTTTTTTAAAGATTTAGTTTATTTATTCATGAGAGACACACAGAGAGGGAGAGGCAGGCTCCAAGCAGGGAGCCCGACGTGGGACTCGACCCCGGGTCTCCAGGGTCAGGCCCTGGGCTGAAGGCGGCGCTAAACCGCAGAGCCACCCGGGCTGCCCAACAACATTACCTATTAAAGAGGTACCCTGAAATTGTTCCAGGTGGGTGTCGGACCACCCAAAAGCTCTGCTGGGAAAATTATTTAATATGTTGTGTCAAAGCCACAGATTATAAGAGAGGCAGAAAAAAGAAAGGTATCAGAAGAGCCGCAGACATTAGTATAGAGGGGGGAAGCCTGTTTGGAGGTCCAGAACACTGATTCCAGAAGAGACTTTGTACCTCTGCCTCCTTGGCTTGTGATTAAGTCTCCACAGGAGACTCCTTTGAGCGTTGTGCCACATTCAGTATTGGTACCTACTCTTATTCACCATGGCGAATTAGACTGAAGTGCTCTAACTGAGGTCTATGCAGTTGAAGATAGTTGCTTGTTTCATATTAAGACCATTTTTTGAATACCGAAAAGCATTATGACTGAGAATAGAGAGATTTTGTTATTTAGCTCAAATTAATTCAAAAGTAGATATGTAGATATCAAGCATATATATATATATATAACTACTTCTACAAGTAATTTTGCCTGAATTTATTTATTTATTTTTTATTGGTGTTCAGTTTGCCAACATATAGAATAACACCCAGTGCTCATCCCATCAAGTGCCCCCCTCAGTGCCCGTCACCCAGTCACTCCCACCCCACCCCCACCCAATGTTGCCTGAATTTAAAGATTCTGAAGCATTTTTTTCCTTACGAAAATCTGTTTTGTATGCATGTTGCTTGCATTGTTCCTTGGCAAGCAATGTATTTTAGTGTTTTCATCCATAGGTTTCACAACCTTTCCTGTTTCATGGAACATAAAAGTTTTCGCGACTGCACTTACAGGAATTAGTAACTAGAAGTTTAGATAATTAGCTGTGTATTAAGCATTTGATTCTGTTTCTCCCTTCTGCCATGAACGGTTCTAAAATTTTCAGTTGAAGATTGTTGCATCAGTTCCATGTCCAGGAATCTTTCTTTAATCTAGCACAATGTTTTTGCACTTGTAAGCACATTGAATAAGTGAACTTACACCTAACGAGGGTGTTGAATTTCTCAAGAGTTCAGAGTTCTTATCAGAGCATCAGACCAAACTATTCAGAGCAGCAGTGCAAAGGACTTTTTTTTTTCAATGTTTTGTAACTTGTTACTTACTTTGATAGTGTAAATTATCCATTTTATTATATTTGCCATGTTAATGCAGGTAAATGATAAAGGTGAATGTTTCAGTACATTTGATTTGTTGTAGGAGGGCTAAGCATTAACCTTCTGAAAGATTTTGTTTTCAGAGGGCCTGCAAGGATGCCTGGCACTGCAGTGGTTTGAGGGAAAGAAAAAAATGAGACACACAGATTATGACAGTATGGTTATAAGGGTAGCAGTAGGTCCAAAGTACTGAAAGTACTCAAGTACTGAGTACATGGGCTGGAGAAGGGGAATGAGTGGATCTGAGGAAGGGTGATGCTCAAGTTGAGTCTTAAAGGATTAATTTCTTCCTTAATGAGAGTGGAATAAAGGTGATCAAGTTCTGGGGCACCTGGGTGACTCAGTCAGTTCTGCATCTGCCTTTGGCTTAAGGCAGGATCCTGGGGTAGAACCCTGTGTGTCGGGCTCCCCACGCAGGGGGGAGTCTGTTTCCCCCGCTACCCCTCCCCTTCACTGGTACTCCCTCTCACTTTCTCTCAAATGAATAAATAGAATCTTAAAAAAAAAAAAAATGACAGAGGTTCCAGATCTTGCTGTGATACTACCAAGCAGTGAGACACTAAGCAAGAGGCTTACTCTGGTATCCATTTTTTTTTTTGGTATCCATTTTTTTTTATTTGAGAGTTTATATCTAAATGCTGTCCAGTAGAAATACTAAATGAGAACCACATATGTTAAGATATTTTACTTTTTTTTTTTTGATAAGTCTTTGAAATCTGATGTCCATCTTACACTTAAACCATCGCACTTTGGACTAGCCACATTTCAAGCACTCAGTAGCTGCTTGTGGTTAGTAGCTAACATATGGAACAATGCAGATAGGCAGTATAAAAGCTCTGCTTTCCTATGGTGGATTCCTGCTTAAAAAGGAAAAGCAACTCCTATAAGAAATATATTACCAGTAATTTGTAATTTCTCATCATTTTGATAATATTCATACTGAATCTTTTATTGGAATTATGGTCATACTTGGGAATGATACTGTTATGGGATATCTTTTAGGTTGTTCACAAGGTTAAGTTTGAGACTAGAAGAAAATTTGTTTTTCCTGTTCTCTGCTGGAGTCACAGTTTTGGTAACTCGGTGCATTTATATATGTGTTGTATCCTTTTTGTCTACAGTCTGTTATTTATAACTGATGGAGCGTGCACATTGATAATTTAGGCAGTTAACAAGGAGGTTTATACAATTTTAACTACATTTTGGGTTTCTTAAAATTTTTAATTTAGCTATTTGGGTACAAAAGCGAGTGGTATTTTTTTTTCCCTTCTTCTTTTAAATAAGTTTATGGTCCTCACTTTCCAGATGAAGAATTCTAGTCTCAGGAAGAATAAGTAGCTGGATCATGACTACAGTTAGTGAATGGCAGAACCAGGTTTTGAGCCCTGATAATGGTGGGGTTCAAGCCTCTTGTTTTGCTTCCCTGTTCCATCCACACTGGCTGACTGCATATGGGATTTTTAAACACTCTTGATTTTAATAGATTCGAAAGCAGTTATTATTGGCTTAACAATATTTATCTTTTTTTTTTTTTTCAATTCTTTACACCCAACGTAAGATAACCAAGAGTTGCATGCTTTTCCCCACTCTGCCAACCTGGTGCCCCTTCAGTAAAGAGTTTAGATCTTAAGCTGTTAATGTAGGAAGAAGGGGATGAGGTTTCAGGGACAGTTATTTCAATGCATAGGGAACAACTTGGGAGAAAAACTTAGAGAAAATTAGAGGTTTATGGAAGGATTTGCAGGTTTGTTTGAAAAGATAAGGACAGACTGAGGTGAAGTAAGAGATGAGAATAAGTTGACCTCTGCAATAAAGAACTTACAGGCCAGTGGACAGAACTTTTATATTATTTGAGTAATTTAGGAAATCTTAGCACAGACTGTGAACTTGTTGCTTATGTAGTGTGATTAAATTGGCTAATTTGAATTTTTCCACATCCTTATCAACACTTATTTTCCATTTTAAAAATTTTAGCCATTCTAGTAGATATGAAGCGGTATCTCATTGTGGTTTTGGTTTGCATTTCCTTAATGCGTAATGGTATTGAACATCTTTTCATGTGATTATTGGTGATAAGCTGCCTTTTTTAAAAAAAAGATTTATTTAGAGAGTAAGTGAGCGTAAGTGGGAGAGTAAAGAGGACTGAAGGAGAAGTTCGTGACTGTAAACGAGCAGCAGAGTAATGCTAGTGAAATGAGTATAGATTTGATAAGGAGTTTGAGTATGAGAAAGGAATAGACAATGATAAGAAAATTGGTTAAAAAATTTGCAGTATGGGAAACTTAGTTGAAACAGGCTATTTAAAAAATTTTTTTCCTTTAAAAACAGAAATTGGCAACTTATCTTGAAAATATATCAGTGGAGCCAGGAAGGCATTAAGTATTAAGG